GTTCTCAAAGTGCTCCGTACGGAGCCCCAGGGCTCCGTGAGAGAAACCCAGGGGCTCCGCGAGCTATTCGATTACTTTTCAAAATACTGAATTGGCTAATTTTACTATTAGGATTACTGAAATGAAAGCCTACTATTCTGAAATAACATAAAATACGCGAAAAACTGCCAACTATACATAAATTGCAGTCGTATTTTTGCGATCTTGGGATTTGTCAAGCATGATTTTGTTCTTTCGCACTCACGAGCAAGATGTCGCCGTTTAAAAAACAAGAGGCCGGGGCAAAATACAAAAGATTGAAATTTATTTCATTGCATGCGGCTCCGTCGGTAGTTTCAGAATGGAAAAATAGGTACATCGCGCGCACAATTGACTGTGTTTCGGTTTCACAGTTACTACGACGAATAACCAAAGAAAACCCAACATAACACCAAATTTTTGATTCACAATGTCTATGAACGTGTTTTTAATCTGACGTGAGTCTGCTGAAACAAAACTTATAGTGTTATCTCCCATTTTAAGTTTTAGTTTTAATATTTCAGTATGCAGCTTTTCAATCAAGAAATTTGAGTTGCGGATTTACCTTTTATTATTTATTATTTTTAGCATTTCGTCTCCGGTGACTATAATATGGTAACATGTTTTTCACATTGAACTCATAATTCCCCACGAGAACAAAAAAGCAATACTCGTCGTCATTGTGGAACAATACATCATACATGTATATGTCGAGGAAAATTTTTGATTTAGGGAGAATAAACACCGCCATGCTGACGAAAACAAGGCGATCGTAACAAAATGCAATCGAGTACGTTATTAGCGGCCTTTTAAGTCTTTCAAAAATATCTAAAGGTAAAAGATCCGACCCCTAATTTATTAATATGTTTGTCAAGTATCAAGTTTACAGCTTTAGTATATATAATTCATCTTTTACATTTAGATTCATTTATGACTTGTATTAACCCTATTAAAAGAGGTTAAGCATTTAAAATAAGTACAGGACTTTTGACTTACTCAGGAATATTATTCGGAAAGTAACAATTTTAACATTTATTTTGGGGCTCCGTGAATAATAGTCAACTTTTTCAAGGGCTCCGCAACACAAAAAGTTTGAGAACCCCTGCCTTAGATGACTGTATAACGATGTTGTTTTATAAGCGGAAGGTAGAACAATCAAATTTAATATAAAAAAAACGGGGGTTACGACACCCGTAACACATCAAGTTCATTAGACATCTCTAAAGACTTCTAAGTTGGTTACTCGATTACACTATACTATCAATATTACACTTATTACACCTGTTTGATTATTCCGGACAATTTTGAATTTGAAATAAACGAAAACTCAACATATCATAATTAATACACAAAAGTAAAATAAACATTCATCGAAAAAGTTATTATTTAGGAACAACAACATAATCGTATAATTCCGCCCAAACCCCGATGTTCGCAAGTGAGATGATAAATAAATACTTTCCGTGTATTCGATAAATCAACTTCTGCAAACAGTCTTGGTGCAAAATATTTCCATCCAGTGATATGCTTACAAATATTCTCTGCGTTAATATCATAACCTCGCCTATAGAACTGGGCAAAATATTCGTATCGTTTCAATTTCATACTTTGCGCCAAAAAAGGTACCAACAAAGCTTCCTAATTTTAGAAGAGTCAAAATAAATAGACTATTCGAAATAAATATCCCAGATTTCAAACTCCGTATATTGGCAGCATGAATTAGCCGTTTCATGTAGGAGCCGCACATACAATTGATTGTCGAAAATCAAAAGTTAAATTGACGTTCCGAGAGCCCACACATGGTATAACATGTACAGGCTATAACCAGAAAAAATGACAAGTCATAATCCTTTTAATGTGCTTTCAATTAGCTCGTTAGTGATCCCTCCCATCCTTGGCCAAGTAATGTTTCGAAAATGTGAACCTTCCACTCAGCCATGCATGGCGGGTGGAGTGTTGAAATCGTGAACAAGAGTATAACGTAAAATCAATCGTGAATTTCGATGTAACAACGCACACTGTCTCCGTCATGAATTGCGCCTATTAACATCGGAAATGATTAAATTCGTTATATTTTGAGTATTTTTGCACCAATAATTAGAGCGTGATTATCAAAATGGTGAATTTGCAAATTCCGTAAATAAAATTGTAACATTTTAGCTATAATTATCACCGGGCAGGGGCGCAGCCAGGATTTTTTCAACGGGAGATTAGGGGGAAGTTAAAACATAACACCAAAACTGCAATTCGCGACGACGTAATCCGTTTATAACTAAAATGTAAGGTCGTTCACGGCGAAATTTCGCAGTTACGTGTAGCCCGCCTCTCTTTGCCCAACGGTCCGAAGTCCTATTTTAAAACATCGACCATTTATCCGTAGTCAGCGGGCATCCGCATCTAGAAATGAAACATTAAAAATCGCGAAAATTAAATTTGGAGAGATCTATAACTCGCAGATGTCAGTAGTGTCATCATGGTTTATATGTACAAAAACACGCTCACATGTAGCGACGATCAAAATCATGAAAATGTGAAACTATTAATTGAAAATTATTGTTAATGGAGTTAAATTTTTATTGCCATTCAATGATTATTTCATAATTTTGTCATAATCGAAGGCTGCAGTAAATTTTTTGTCGCCGCGATCGTGTTGTTAAACTATATTAAAGCATGTTTTTATTCACTAGCAAATATTAATTCTCACGTAACGGCGGGCATCGTAGTTTGGTTTTTATATTTCGGATAGAATTGTGAATTCACATCGGCGAAGATTTTAAAGACAACTATTAATGAGCGCATTCACAACGAAAATTGATTTTGTTCTGATTTTATCTTCTGTGTAGGATTTGTATCAGTTCGTAAATTACGGTCCCGAGTTTAAGCGAACAATAATATTATTACTGACCCCGGGATGCGATATTTGTGAAGCAGATAGTTGACATTTCTATGCTTTTAATTTTAGATCGTGTCCGTGTTACTTTCGTATTAAATAATAATTGAAAAACTCCGCAAATTGGTTATCTCTTGAGTACTCAGTGTTAAGTATTTAGGTAACTCAGCTTTGGGTTAAAACACTGATAGTAACTAAACACGTGAATAAATCGGCAATAATGGCATTTCGACATGGTCAAAATAATATTTCTCACCAATATCTCTTGAAAGTTCCATAAAATACATTATTTACTTGTCTTACTTATCGACGTTTCTAAATTTACAAAAAAGATGTTGACACGCTTTATACAAAATTGTTTCAAATTTATTGTTTCTACATGTTAGCGATAGCCGTCTGGTTAATTCTTACCCGTAACTCGTAAAGTAATGTTAATAAATTGTGTTTTGCTTTCCAATGCGCGGTTAACCGCGGTTAAATTCGTTTCATGGTGAGAAAGGAAAATACGTTTTCCGGAATTGCAATCAACAATTACACATTTTTTATTTATCATTATCAGCGCCGAATAAAAAAGATAACATATCGTGAAGACGAAAAAAGTCGTTGAAACTTGAGTTGAATTAGTTGCAATTAGCGCCTGATTAGGCACCAGAGCACTCGAGCCCAATGTTTTTAGCATTAGTCGCATATGTAAAATATCCTTAAAGAAGTGCTGTTTATTAAAGTCATCTCGTCTTATGGCCACGCAGAAATGCCTTCATTGCCGAATTATTTAATCACAATTTTAAATCAACATTCAGGATTGGCACAATCTCAGATTTGCGAGGTTTATCTGTAAATTAATACAGACACCATAAAAAAATTATAAAAGTTAATTATCGTCTTAAATATCTGCATTCCGGAATCGATAATAATAATACCATTCGCTTAAAATTGGGACAGTAAATTTACAAACGTTGATAGGTAATATCAAGTCAACGCAAATGTTTATTTTGGTTTTGAAATTTGTCGTTAATGCCCTTAACAGCTGTTGCCGATGTGAACGCACGCGTAAGCCTGGATTGCCAAACCCAGGATATAGTCGCCAAAACGCCGGTGACAAAAACAATTAGCTATTATAACGAAATTAACCAGTAGAAAAGGCTTCCTTGCTAATTTTTCGACCGACGTTCTAGACTCCTGCTGTGCATAAAAAATATTCCTTATTCGTTAAAAATATTCAATTCGAAAAAATATTCGATTTTGCCCACCCCTACTCGCATATTAATGAGGAAATAGTTTAGATTGATTTTTGACCCTGGTCTGAGTTTGATTTATCGTGAATGACTAGACTAGCTAATACTGAATATCGCAAAATTCCGCGAAACGCCATTTGCTTTTAACATTCGTGGTTACAATAAAATGGCTGTTAAATGTTAATACGACCACGTATGTATTTAGTTAATTTGGCGATTTTGCAAATCTGTGAGATGCCGCTAAAAGTTTCTTCTAATTTAACAAACAATGGCCCAAGTTTACATTCCATTACTAAACAATGTGGTGTCGAGTATCAAAAATTTCTGAATGGCTCCAGTAAATTCACTAAGAAGAGAACACAGACCTGTCAAACCAGTACTAGAAAATCGTGTACTTTGATCACAATTCATCGATGTCATTGACAGTCACATGACCACTCTCGTTTAGAGAAACGCACTGCCTTGCATTCGGACATCTGGTTTCAAAGACGCCGCCGAGCGTTTTCGCGGTGGAAGCGGAATCAGTGTGCTTGTATAATAATCATATTATAAACAAGAATTTTGCCATTAATGCAAAAGCTTTATCTTCCATGTCTTCACCACATAGGTTAGAATTCCGGTAAATATCGTTATGATATGCAGAATTGAGTTACAATAGTACTATTATGTTACTTATTTGTCAACTTAAATACGCACACAAAATTATTTGTCAACTTTGAATTTTTATTCCATTCAAAATCGAAAAAAAGTGCTATTTCTCTTCAAAATCAGAAAAAAGTGCTATTTCGCAGTCCCTAAAAAAAGTTGCGAAAGTGCTTCGCAATTTTCGCAAAAAAGTGCGCTAATAGTGAACACTGGTGCCAAGAATAGGTAAACTGTACAATACAAAACATACCGGTACCGGTACACTTATTGCTGTATTGTATCGGTACAAACACGTTCATCATTATTCAGTTATTTGTCATTTATCAAGCTAAAACATGCAAAAAACTCACTGAAACGTGTAGAAATTTGTTATGTCTACAATGTAGTAAAAGATTTTAAACTTTTATAACGGAGAAAGTGTCATAGAGAGAAAATGCCGTTTTAGATTGTCACCGATGCAACTTTTAGACATATCAAGCATTGCGGTATTTTCCCTCCCATATCCTGTCAAAAATCTGCCTGAATCTGCATTTTTACAAAATATCTTACAAATAACTGCAGATCGATTTATTATTGAATTTTACCAAGTTTGAGATACAGGAGGGTACGATAATTAATAAATTTTCTGACATATATATATGCAGTATGTTTGAAATACTGTTCAGGCTGGTAACACCCGGCAGAAATTATATTGTTCGGCCATAAAATTATTATTTAGTTATCTTAGTTAGTTTAGCTATTTAATAGATTCCTTGTTCGATTTCTAGTTTTTATAAACCCTATTTTGTTAGCGAATATCCCCGACCAAAAAAATGGAAAGCCAGTTAAAAATTTAGAATAACCCAACACATTATTCGGTACTCCCGAAGTATTCGTACCAAGATGGCGTACAACCTGAACATAGTATGTTTACCAGTTTAGGGTTCAGGTTGTGCGCCATCTTGGTACGAATACTTTGGGAGCGCTCATTATTCAACTTCGTTAGTTGCCTCATCTAGCCATAACACTAGTCAATTCGGTGATGTAACAATATGTCAATAGATTTTTCTGGTAATTTTTATGACGAAACAAAACCAAATGCTTTTTATGTTCACCCTCTCGCAAATGTGACGCGGGCCACAGATAATGAGGCGGCTCTACAATGTATAACTGTATAAAGTGAATAGTTCGAAACAGGCTGACAGCTCTACAAAATCTACACTGCACGCATGCCAAGTTGTAGAAATTCGTTCCTTAAACGTTAGTTTTTCAAGCTGCTCTTCCCTCTCCTAGCAAGTGGTCATTTATAAACTTGTTTTGGAATAACGAGGACATGACTCTGTCATTGTAGCCTATGCTATAGGTCGTCTGATTGCCACGCTTTTATTCCAACATATACCCCTGATCAAATACTGAAATAATAGCTAATGATATAAATTCTAAAGCTGATTTAATTATACTGTATTGTGTAGAATCTACCATATAAGAATATAGAAATTCAATGAATAATGATGAACTAGATAAAATGCAGTGTAACATGAGGGCCATTTTTAAATACAAATTAATTGGGATGATTAGGTTAATGAAGAATGAGGAAAGAAATGAACTACTTGGAAAAGATCATATGGACTATATAAATATTTAATCGATTATGTTGCGAGTCTTGTGACACCCATTTTTCCCATGTGTGTTCCGTTTGAATATTGAAAATAGTTTAGTAAACAAGTTGCTAACATAGACAGCGAATGTAGAGAAGGCTAAGGCATGATAGGTAATTTTCTTATTACAGTATTATATGTCTAATCCTAAAAAAAAAAATTTTTCATGTGCTAAAATTTGATTGTATGATATGACTGCTGTTGATGGAAAAATATATTCAATTGCTCACCGGATTACTTAGATCACAAACATGGGTGCAAATAAAATTGGATATAACTGTATAATGGAATTGAATTGGTAAATGTATCTGGATTTTATAATATGTCTTTTTCATTGTTTTGTATACGTACACACTTCTGCACTTTATAATATCACCTAAATTACCTGAAAAATTGGGCTTCATGCATCTAAATTAAAATGAATTATTTGATTACACCAAAACTATTATATTCATGAATCCGAATTTAAATTTGGCAAAAAAAAGAATTAGCTATACTTTGGAAAGTGCTATGATGTTTCGTAGAGACGTAATTGTTAGAGGGTATAGTCATAGGTGTGGGTTACGAATAACATATGCAAAAATCGTTATGCTACGCCCACTCTAAACTATACTAAAACCACTATATTTAGTGTGGTATCACCGCATTGTACTAGATTACACTTTCACATTCATTGCACTATTCAATGCAAGAAGAATACTAAAATAAAATTGTAGTTTGCATGTATAGCTGTACAGGGTTTGTTGCAAACCGCATGGTGCTATAGGTAACGCATAATGCAGTAATGTATCAATGCAAAATATTACAGGAATATGTCGATTTAGTCCCATCGCTAAAATCAAATTAATACTTTCGTATATGATTGTATGGATCAGGGGTGGGCAAACTACGGCCCATGGACAAATCTGGCCCTTTGGGCAATTCAATCTGGCCCGCCTGAAGCTGACACAACCAAACTGAAACCGAATTTCGATGTTTTAGCTGAACAATGGCACAAGGAATTTGTAGAGATTGTGAATAAATTTAGTTCCCGTACGAGGCTTATTGTTTTCCATTCCACTTTTGCTTTTGTACCATTGCAAATATTTTTCATAAAATGTAACTTTTTACGTCCCATTTACATGGCCCGCCAGTTTAGTTGGGCAAAATTATTGGCCCCTGGTCCAGAAACATTGCCCACCCCTGGTCTAGATCCATAATACGACAGATATGAGCAGAAATAGGAAACACCATTTATCATATTACCACAGGTGATGCTTTGATTGCTGGAGAGCGTATTAATTTTTTCCAACTGCAAATATTTATAAATTCATTCTTGGAGATACCAAAAAATTCTTCACATCAACTAGAGTGTTTATTAGGGTTGCCACTTCTGGATACATTTTTTTTCGAATCGAATCTCGAATCAAAACTTTTCGAATCGAATCTTTCCGAATCTGATTCCATTAAGCTTTTTTTTTTATTACATGCGTATGTTTGCCCAAAGTCACAAAAAAGCTCAAATCTAGAGGAAAAAAATTTGAAAATGGAATAGGCAATATATAGCAAGGATGATAAGGGTTTTTCAGTGAATAAGCCACACTTATTTTCATCATGATAAAAAAGATGTAGGTCATAGATATCACTAATAAATGCATTGATGAAAAACTTGCTGTTGCAACTTATCTGTGAGTCTTACAATACTGAGTTATTGTGTTATACTTGTATCAGGGCTGAGGCAATTTGATGGAATTCATATGAGAAAATAAGCAGGGAACAGTTGTACTGTTATGTCGTAAACACAGTAACAGCACTGCTTTTCCTTGTCCCACACCAGTATATGTGACCGTGGTATTTCCCTTCTTGTTATATTGAACTAAGGCCGGCCTTATTACCGATTCTTTATCTTCAAAATCTTAGTACAATATTTTATATTTATGCTAGCAGCATAGAGTAATACGACAAAAACATTCTAATTGCATCTGAATTACTATAAATGGGAAATGCTTACAAGAATATAATTGAAGACGATAAAATTAACCACGATTAAATTAAATTCGATAAAAACAATCGTTCATCCGACTACGATTGCGAACAAAAATTTCCATAAATATTAGAGAAAGTATTATTTGTGGCTAACAGCGTTATTGGCTAACTCGGGCTTCATTATTAATGTGGACTACGTTTAATTTCGTAATTCAGAAAGTCCAAATGTGCATAATGGACGCCGCGCTGACGAGCGATAATTGGTTGACGCTTTATCTCGATCGGACATGGTCGCTGGGGCTAAAGTAAGACGACATTCGCACAGTATGCTCGGTCTGGTATGAAATCTGCCACGTGTTGATGTAAAACAGTGCACAAGTTGCCATTCCTCAAGTATTATTTACTCCCACCTGTCCGTTATGACATTTGCTCGAAATAATCCGAAATGTTTTATTCGCTTGTATCGCGCTAACAAAATTAAAAGTAAATACTACTTTTTTTTGTAACAGCTGAAAAAAGACGTGTATGTACTATTACATTATGTCCCCTGATTTCGTTTATCGCCACTCGAGTGGAAGCCTGACAAACGCAAACAAAATAAATATATATTTTAGGATGAGAAACATGATTGTCAATTAACATTGCCGGCCGATGAACTCATTCAGTAATAGTTCTCTTCAAATGTACGCAAAATATTGCTCTCAGAACAAAGTTTAAATTAAATTCCAATCAAAATTAAACATTATCTAGACGTCGGTGGCCGATTCTTTATCCAATCATGCCAGGGCGTACAATAACTTAGTCGCAGCGCAGGTGTGCTGTTGAAAATTTTCATCAAAATTGTCACGAATTTTCAGGTATACGATCCATTTAAATTCGCGCATAATGGAAACTTCGGCTATTTAGTGGAAAACTGAACTCGCAGTTTGCTGGTAATTACGCCACACATCATCTCGAGTGATGCGTAAAAGAGTGTGTTGTGTCGAACTTGAAACAAATGACGGCAGACAAGTAAAAAAGTCAATCACGAAAAATTCATTTTCATTTATTTACGTCCCGTAATTTGTTGCTATTTGGAGTGCCGCATAAACGCATTCGGCAGTTTTAACGCCACCGAAAACAACGATTAACAAATGTTCAATGTTTTTCTTTCGGTCCCGTAATTTGGTGTTATTTGGAGTGCTGCATAAACGCATTCGGTAGTTTTAACCAGGGCTGGGGAGTCGGAGCTGGAGCTGGAGCTTGGAGCCATGGAGCCGTGACATTTTGATGGAGCCGGAGTCGGAGTTGGAGCTGAGCTGGCCATGATAGATGGAGCTGGAGCCAGAGCCGGAGCTGCCAGAAATTTCAGCGGCTCCAGCTCCTGACAATAGAATAATTTTTTTTTTTTACTTTTCTGATTTTTTAATAACTTCTAGGGTTGAGAAATAATAATTACTCCGATTTTAATTCTATAATTTCTGGCGTCTCCAAACACTTAACAGAACTAAATAGTTGTATAATTAATCAAGTTACTATTGTTCTAAAGCAGGGGTTCCCAAACCGCGGGCCAATTACGGCCCGCGAGACGATTTCGAATGGCCCGCCGAACATTAGTGAAACTATAACCGTGAATAAATACTAACACGTTTAACAATTTAAATGTGTTCATCCTTTTATGTCGTAGATGCCGCCAATTGTTACGTCATTATCACAATTTAAGCACGTGTATATCGTAACAATTCAATTATACTGGCATCTTAACTTACGTACCGGTATTAGGATTACGTACGGCAGTCTTTTAGGTATCACGTATCAGCCCTATATTAAAGGAAGCTTGAAGATGTCACAAAAACGAAAACTAGACACTGAAAACGGGCGTTTTTCGGATAAATGGCAGCGTTCTTATTTCTTTAATGAAAAGAATCAAACTTCAGCGATTTGTCTTCTTTGCCAACAAACTATTCTTGTTCTATTCCTGTTAAACTACGGTCCAGACTGACAGATAATCACTTAGAGTGCGGTATTGCAAATACAATGTAACAAACACGTTTTGAACATCAGTTTTCGAGCAAACCCCATTTACACGTATCTACAAAAATGCAAGTAAATTATGTTGGCTATTCGTTTTTTTTTTTAATATTTATATACATTGAGACGTTTTTTTGTTTAACAAAAAAAAACATGAGTCGCTATCTGGGGTCATCTCTTATCTCTGGGGTCAATCTCAACCTCTGTGTCAGTGGATAATATTGATAGTACAACTGCAAAAACCATACTCACCAGAGATAATAGTGTTTTATAAACTTCAACTACAAATTTAATTAGATAACAAACCTTGGGTGTCGCTGCCTGATAATCAGTTCCCAGCGATTTCCCTTCCCAGTAAAATGTGTGTCAATATTACTTTTTTCATAATTTCGTTTGTTATTTTTACTGGATGGAAAAAATAAACTTGACCATGATATGAGTAGACATTTATACGAAGCCGTAGTCCAGATGAGCAAGTAACTTCATTAGTCGCTATCAGTTACAAATCCTTTTTGAAAGTCGTGCTTGTTATTCCTCGGGTATTCTATCACCTAACTATTATACTTATGAATTTTATTACATAACAAACTGCGATACCGGGTGTAACTAAAATCAATCTTGAGGCCTATTTTGGTGCCTATTTTTCAAAATTTTCTCAGGGCGCTTAAGCGCGCCCTGAACCCCAGCCTTTGCGTCGGGCTTTTTTGGTCATCCCGCTTTACTGGCCCGCGAGTATCCTCGCCTTGAAATTTTGGCCCACGCCAAATAAGTTTGGGAACCCCTGTTCTAAAGTAAATAGTGTTGGATTATATCACGGATCTTGGTATTTTTAAACGGCGATAATGATTTGGCAAGATCGCAAAAATATGAATCAAAATTAATTATAATCGGGCAGTTTTCCACACATTTTACGTCCGTAGCTTGTCATTTATGTTAGAGATTCTTTTATTATTTCGTAAGTCGACGCAACATTGAGTTACTTTGAACAGAATAAAACAATAAGGCAAGTGCTGGTATCGGTAATGGGTTACATTTTTAGCACAATAGAAAATTATTTTCTGACAAGTCGTTTTTTTTTTAAATATTATAAACAAAATTATTCGCCAAAGCGCAAGAAAAAGTATAAATTATATTTTCCTAATCTTCCCAATAAAGCAACTTATTTTTCCGACTTGCGAAAGTTTATTGAGGTATCGTAACAAAACGTATGAAAACAACTTATTTAATATATGACCTTGGTTGGATCTAAGCGAGACGTGTGAACATAATAATATTCAAATTTTGATTTCACTTCCATTCGCTCGCGGGATTGGCGAGAATAAACGCTTTGCGGGATGGTTTTCTAAAAGTGAGTGCGTTTAGTTATTAATAATAACTTTACATAATTAATAATTTCCCAACGTAACTGGAAATAAATGCGAAAATGGTGACAATATCCACCACGCAACCGTGAAAGAAAGCTGTGACGCGCACTGAAAAATGAATATATATACCAAACAATCTAACAATTCTATTTTATCGTCTTAAAAACACATGGCAAAGTGCATAAAATCGTTTGAAGATTTTGCACGGAAACGAAACAAACAAACAGCTTGCGAAAAGTGACTATTACTTTAAAATTTGAAAAAGTATCGCAATACTTTGATATAGCAATATGGACTGATAAAGTTATTTTGTCGTGAAAAATAGCGGTAATGCATTCTGATATACTGTTTTCTGTGAAACTTAAGTTTCATGCTTGAGAACTACAAGCAGTCGCGGTCGTTAACGGGGTTGCACACTTAATTCATTTTTTGCTACACATTTTTTGCTATGTATACTAATATTTATTGATGTCGATTAGTGGCCAATGCAACCGGCTATTTTACGATTACCTGATTACAACTCCTCACTGCTTTTCTTTTTCTAATAAATGGTATTTACTGGCAAGTGTTAAAAATACTTTTGTAGATAAAAAAAAAAACAGACGACTTAAATTTCTCAGAAATATTATTTGCGAATAATTTGATTTCGGCGATCTAAGAAATCTCATTGCCGCTAACGACTACTAGTAAAAAACAAAACTATATTGCAAAGAGGGGCGTTTTGACTATTTGGGAATCCCTAAATATTATGTAATATTTCCGAATTTAGATCTGAAGTGTCGTATATAAGGTTAGGTCATCGGCTTTCTCAGCTTGGTTGTATATAACGTAAAATGGATTCCGAAAAAAATGCGATTTGTTTTCTTGTCTTCGTCTCATAAATTGCACCGCGATATAATGATGCGACGCGGTAGGTCACATGGAGTGTGTTCAGTGGATTTAGTCGAAATCGGGATTGCGCAATAATTGATTGTAGTACAGGTGTGGCTTGCGCAATACATCGGCAATTGTGGACAAGAAAAAAGCGATCGGCCGATCGCTAATTTACCTTTGTGACGTAACTAACAGTAACGACCACGTAGACATGTCTGGGCATGTTCAAGCAATGCTGAAACATGACATGCTGGCTTGCATGCCTAAGTGTCGGAATGACCAGTTGATGTATATTGCATACGATACAATTTCTCGCTTGTAGAAAATGCTTACCTAATCTTAATGCCATTCATGACAATATAATATTTCATTTTAAATAGTAGTTAATATTAAATTAGAGAAAATTAATTTGTAAGAATGCAACCCTTGTACCATGGCTTGCAAAAGTAAAAAGTCCGCAGTGTTCAAATATTTCAAAGAGAGTAGAGATAAAAATGCACTAATCTGCCAAGTATTAAAGAAAGATGGGGCCGTTTGCAATCTCAGGTTCATCAATAAAACTTCAAATTTGAAGCGGCATTTGGAAAGACATCATTTTGATGCCTTCGAGTCTGTCAAAAAAGAAGACAGTGAAGACACAAAGAGAGACAGCGATATAAGTAGACAAACCTCTGTCTCAAGCTATTTCACAAGTCAAAAAGTGACCATTTCCATGACTAAAGAAAAGTTTCAGAGACATATCATACAGCTGGTGGTGAATAATGCAGCTGCACTTCAACTGTTCTCTTCGAAAGCATTCCTCGGATTAAATGGAGAAATGGCCAACAAATTGGGAGTATCACTGGAGAGACATGATATAAGAGATATGGTGGTGAAGGAAGCCGAGTGTCAGAAAAGAGTGTTAAAGGATATATTACATGGGAAATTTTGTTTTTTGAAAATGGACGCTTGTACTAGACAGAGAACTAATTATTTCGCTATAAATGTTCAATTTGTGGATTATAAAAATGAAATAGCCATCCGTACATTATCAGTACGGGATACACAAGCTCAACACACAAGTGAATTTATTCAAAAATTTGTTGAGGAAGTTCTGAGAGAGTTTGAAATTAGAAAAGAACATATATTAGCGATTGTGACAGATAATGCCTCTAACATGACAAAAACAATAGAGAAACTTAATGCAGATATGATTGGGGACGAGGTTTGAACGTGATGATGAGTTGAATGAAGGTGAATCAGATGAAGCTTTAGTTAGTGCTGTAAACAGCATAACAGCTGTTCATACAATTGAGCACATGCGGTGTGCAGTACATACCCTTCAGCTTGCTATTCGTGATGGTTTGAAAGAAAAGCATGTACACACTTTACTAAGTAAGCTACGTCAAACCTCAGTCATGGCCAGGACGCCTAAAATAGATGCTATATTGAAGCGTAGAACAGGAAAAGGTGCAATAATAGATCAAGCCACTAGGTGGGGTAGCACCTACTTAATGATTCAGCGGCTCTTAGAAATAAAAAACAGTTTAATTGACATGGCCAATCCAGACATAACCTTGACTGATTTGCAATGGCGACAGACACATCAATTAGAAGAATTACTTCGGGAGCCCTATTTAGTCACCAAAAGGTTACAGGCACAAGATTTGACACCAGGGTCTTTTTATAAAGAGTGGAAAAACCTCATTTATAAACTTTCACAATCCAGTAGCATCATTGCAGATGCTATAAAAGCATCTATGCTGCGCAGAGCAAAATGTCTCCTCGATAACCCTGTATTATTAGCGGCTATTTATGTTGATCCTATGTACAGGGTTACCCTAAGTGAAGAACAGCTCAATAGAGGAAAGGCAGCGCTATGTGATATAGCTGTTCGAATGCACCGTGGATCACGAGCTACACAATTTGAAGACCAATCAATCTGTGCTAGTGGGCCTTTAAGGAACTCCTCTGATTCTGGTTCCGAATGCGAAATAGATTTTGAAAAACACCTTGACATTGAAGCCAAACGTCGTCGAACAGAGAAGGAAAGTAGAAACTCAAATTCAGATCTATCACCGCTTTCCAAATTCAAGAGAGACTTCTTTTATGCTTTAAATGATGTAGAAAAAATAGATCGCTCATATAAGTTGGATATTCTAAAAGCCATCCCAGAATATCCAGAAATAGTTCAAAATGTGGCATATATGGTGACAGCATTGCCTCCAACCCAAGTTAGTGTGGAAAGATTGTTTTCGGCCCTGCGGATAATTCGTTCGGACCTGCGAGCCTCAATGAAAGAAGATTTAGTAAAAGCGATACTGTTCTTAAGAACAAATTCATTTTAAATGCTCGTATGAATTATGTGATGGCCATTCAATGTTCAATTAGTTTTTATTCACTTTAATTTCAATAACATTTAGTAATATACTGTATTTTCAGGCAAAAAAGACGATGTCTATTTTTATAGCTATCCAATAAGACGACAGAAAAATTGCTTTTCTGTTGGTCAGTTATGCACTAATATGCGCCATGCGGTAATAATTTTATATGGTTAGAAACAGATCATGTTTGTTTGGTATAATCATACTCACAAAATTAACTATTCATAACAACAACGTGGTAATTTTAAGTTAAAAAGGTAGTGACAATCATTTTGAATGTTTGTAGGGAATATGACAAATAACAGCTGGCAATACAAAGTCAATTAAATATCTTGATTAGCAGACACTTTGGCGTCTTCGAATACATACGGTAATTAAAACTACTTTTAATAGGCAAGTTGTTATTTTTAAGTGTTCCAAAATTCCATGTACAAAGATTATTGCACGATTTTCTGATTCACGTTTTCTGTCCTGCATCGACTGTAGTTTATAGAATAGTGCTCAAGAGTGCAATTCTATTGTTCAAAAGCAATTTACCAAGTGAAATTTGTGTTACATACTTATTCACAAATGTGATTTAATTTAAGTATGGCCGTGGTTCGCCATATGTTTAAGCTCTTTTATCGGTTCCTATATGTAAATCTTTTCTTCACAAAATAAAATATATCAACCCAAATGTACGGTTAACACAAATCATGTTTGAGAAAACATCTGCGAAAAATACGCTGATCAGTTGGCCACAGAAATCAAGCAAGCCTAGCTGCCCAATAAGATGCCTCAGGCCAAAAAATGGGGTCTATAAGAGCCGGGAAATATAGTAATATAAGATATCCATTGAAACTCACAATATTAAGTGTTAACATGATTTTTCATGATTCTCTTACCAAGTGTGTGATAAAATCATGAAATAAATAACAGTGAGGCATTGACTTTTTGTAAATGATAAGCTTAGCGGTACTATCAAATACATTATAGTGTGCGGAGCCGGAGCTGGAGCCAGCTCCGGGCTAAAAAAATGAAGCTCCGGAGTTGGGAGTCGGAGCCATAGCTCGAATATACTCTGGCTCTGGAGTTGGAGCTGGAGCCACACTGATTTTAAGCCAGCTCCCCAGCCCTGGTTTTAACACCGCCGAAAACAACAATTAACACACGTTCAATGTTTTTTTTTCGGTCCCGTTATTTGGAGTGCCGCATAAACACACTCTGGCAGATTTAAAGCCGCCGAAAACGACGATTTAACAAACGTTCAATGTTTTTTTTTTCGCTAAATCGCTCTCTTTTTCCGAATCGCGTAAATCTGATTCGAATCGATCCGGAAAAGAAGCGATTCGAATCGATCCGATTCGTAAATCCAAAAGTGGCATCCCTAGTGTTTATTACAGAAAATTTGTAAAACAAGAGGTAGATAGATTACACTGCCATCACTCATATTACACTGTTTTTTACTGATTTTCTCTGGTTATCTTACTAATGCTTTCTAAAGATGACTGTTTTTTCACTTATCATTAATAAATATGACATGAAATATTTGGTCTAGAAAATGTTTTCGACTCAAATACATTTTAAATTAGGTGTAAGTTCATGTGAAAAATTTACCTAAATCATTATCTGAAACACCATAAATATAAGTAGTATTGTTTTCTTTGTGTTGTTTATTACCAGTTGAGATATCGTACATTTGGATCTGCTTGTATGATGGCTCAAAATCCCTAATTTGTAAACAAAATTATTTCTAGATATTCCTCAATTCAAATATTTGTTATATCGAATATGAATTTCAAATGTATTCGAATATTCAATTCGTTTTATACATACCTCTTTTGAAATATTCATATTTTTTGTTTTGTTACAATAAAACTTTATTATATCAGTCAGGTAATGGTATTGATCTTTGTCAATCAGTATGGAACCAGCAGAAAAGAAGAGAAAGACATCCACATATTCAGAACAAAAAACTCCAAATTATGGGAAAAAGGTGTTAGAGGTTCTTGACGACTTCAGAAAAGCCGAAGATCTGTGTGACTTTTTTCTCAAGGTTGGAGATAGAGTAGTTCCAGTTCATCAGAATGTAATTGCTGCTACATCACCCTATTTAAAAGATCTGATAGATAGGGGCACTGGAGGAACAAGTATTGTTGAAATACCTAATGCCAGTTTTACAGCAGTGGAACGTTGTGTCGAGTATCTTTATAGTGGAACTACGAGAGTAACTCTTGAAGACGCTGGTGATATTTTGGATGTGGCGAGTCTAATGCAGCTTCAAGATATGGTTGAACTTTGGTTTAAACATTTTGCTGATATTTTAAATGTTCGAAACTGTTGGGAAATCAAGCATCTTGCTGACAAGCATAACAATAAAAAAATTAAGAAGTCACTTGATTCTCTTATCTCAAACAATATTGGCGATGTTTGCCACCATGTAGATTTTGTGGCGATTGGTATTGATGAATTGATAAGATACATAAGCAAGGCCAATGATGTTGTTTCTGCATGGAAAGCAGCTTCTCTCTGGGTCACTAGTGATCTTATCACAAGAAGTGACAACCTTCATTTGATCATAAAAAATTTACATCTGGATAGATTGAAAATTGATGATATAGAAATGTTGCTCAATGACACTTTAATCAAATCATCTAATCCATGCATAGAAGAAGTTGCTAAAAAAGTGTTGAAAAAAAGTAAAAGAAGAGAAGTTCACCATCAACAACTGGCCTACTTTAAACTTGGCTGCAGAAGTGATCAATGACACCGCTTTAACAACGCTCGTGCATCAAAAAATGTGTGTAATGTTAGTGGAACTTTCTGATAAGAAAGAATTTTTGAAAATTCCTTTACAAGAAATGAAGTTTATCTTGAATTCTGTACATATTGACAAAGAATCTGAAAGTGATGTCTGGAATGCTATAAGTAGATGGATATCATATGACCCATATCGGCATAAGTGTTGCTTTGAGATTTTGAAGTCTGTGAATTTAAAAAAATTCTCTGTTGAGTTAATTAATGATGTTATCCGTGATAACAAAATTGTTGATGCAAGTAAGGATTGCCGTAACCTGATCCTCGATGCCCTTGTCGCTCATGCATCAACCAGCAAGGAAACATCTAAATCATCTAAGAGTAGTAAACCAGCCAAGCCTGCTATACAAAAGGCTTCAAGTAGCAATAAGAGTTCCTCTTCTTCAAGCAGTGGTTCTTTCCAGGCTCCTGGACAAATGAGTTCTAAGATCAAGAATACTTCAACTAAGTCATCTTCGGCAAGTTCGAAACCTAGCAATATTATAGCTGTTTTGGATAATCGATGGGACAGCATATTGGCATTTGATCCAAAAAATGCAAGTTGCCGTCAAATGTGGAACATACCATTAGACAAGCAAAGCACAATGAAGAATGCTTCTTGGTTCCAAGCAGCTGCAATCGGTTCTATAATATTTGTCATGTGTGATAAATCATTTTTTAGCTTTGATACGATAAATAATACTTGGAAAAGCCTGACATCTCCTCTTCATCGCCATGATGAGCATTCCAAAGCTATCGGATTTCAATCAAAACTATGTGTAATTGGACAAAATTCAGAATTTTATGAACCGCTGAAAGACGAATGGACTGTCGCACCACTACCTGATCTCTTGACTATTAAATTTTGTGTTGCTTCAACACCAACAAAACTATATAAAATTGGCGGCGCATTGAAGACTCAAGCTACGGGTTGGGTATATATATGGGAATCTGAGTTTAAAAATACCAATCATACAACAATGATCCAACCCAGAAAATGTGCTTCAGCTGCGACTTCACAGGAAGATTTATATGTAATGGGTGGTATCAATGCAACAGATGGAATTTTATCATCCACTGAATTCTATAGCCCCAAGACAGATACCTGGTGTATGTTATCTGACGTAAGATGTCCAGTATCTTTTTCATCCTCTTCTTGTTTGCAAGGAGACATTTATTATTTTGGGGGAAATACCATAGAAAAGTATGAGAAAAAGAAGCACACATGGAATGTTGTCAAGAAAATGGATGCCATGGGTAATAAATTTGCTGCTATTGGCATAACTTCTCAATAGACTTGTCGAAAATGTTAATATTAATGATAATCTATTTTCCAGATTTTTTGCGGGATTCAACATGCATAGAAATTAAATAAATTTACAACTTCCTCTGTGATAGGAAACATTTATTTTTTTCACGTAGTTTTCATATTTAATCTGAACCACGGTTTATCAGAGAGTCTGTCCATAGTTCCATGTTGTATAATATGGAGTAATCGTTTAAGTAACAATACCTTCTGTAAATATTTGCTGTTTTTATACTTATACATGACATAATGTTATAATTCAAATTATGCATAAGTCTTACCACTTATGAGTAGTTTTTCTTGCATCATTAATATGTTTAAAGATCTTTATCTCCTAAAAGGGTAACGATTGACTTCTCATACTTTCTGTAGATTGTAAGCAATTTATCACTGCTGTTTATTTTCTCACGATATAATTATGCTCACTAATTTTTCTCATTTTATGAAACGCATGCAATGTATTTTTGATCACTGAATTTTTATAGTGCTAGTAATTTTAAAATATACTTCAAGCTGTATTTACATATAGCCTACCTAGATATTCTTCTGTATTCTATAATCTTTGTAAATTAGGATTTTTGTAATCGTATGTAATTTATTGTTTCCACTTTTTTATCTTGAATATTTTAAGTTTCGAAAAGTGTAATCAACATTTTAGTTTTCAAATCTTTTTATAGTCAATATATGTAATCTCATTAATCTGATATGCATTATTGTGTAATTATAAACTTTATGCACTTATATTGTAGCTAATTGAACCGGCAAATTAAATAGGAATATGAACATATGACGTCTGATGAGATAGAAAATGTTTCTATATGTCAGTGATTTCCGACCGGCATGTACATGTTGAACATTTGAATACTGGGAAAGTATCTGCAAAAATGAAAGTAGTAACAAGGAAGACGAGATGTAATGGAATAAATAATGATTGGACTCAAACATAATATGAATATCTTGCAGTGCTGGAGATCGGTTGGTTACAAACACATGGTAGAAGTTGCAACTTGAGCGGCTGGGCAGTACAACTTGGTGTATCTACCAAGAGGAGTGATACCAGGTAAACGTGGAATCCCAATAATGGTTTAGTGTCTTATATTCCAAATGTTTATTCATTTCATATTATTATGCAAGAAGACAGAACATTACTAATATGTCTGGTTATATCATCCTTGACCTTTGTATGCCAATTTTTTTATATTTTAATTTGTATAATATGTTTTCAAGTTCAAACTGCTATTAACAACACGGCCCCGCCGTCGCCAACCGGAACATTCTGAACTGATCATTTGTTGAACGATGTTGGAGTATGACTAAAGAGAAGATGGGATTCCCAATTCAATTCTGTGTAATTTCCAGGATAAGAGGAACATTTGGGTTCATCCAGAAATAAAGTTGGTTCTTGAATATCAGTGGATATACTCGTACAGAGGCTTGTTTGAAGTGAAATGCCTGGAATGACAAATCCGACCTATTAAGGTCAATGCAATATTTCTAACATGAAGCATCAATTAATAATGGAGATTCATGAGGAAACATTAATGGACATGAATGAATAACATATGCTGAAAACTTTTAATAGCTTGGTGAAATGTCATAGACCAGAAAATGATTTAATAAACAGTGTAACGCACACTCGGGTTGGGAGCAAAGGGTTGCGGCCCCCTTGGCGCAAATAAAATATCTTTATTATAACTGTTTTCTCAGAATAATGTACACAAAAGCGCTATCGCAGCACCTCGCATACTTGTAAACAGATGTGCGGTCTCATGGATAATACGGTCTTAAAATGCACTGCTGATTCTGCGCTTTAGTTTGCTCGCCCTTCCACGTTACGCTCTTATTATTATCATAGGTGTTCTCACTTTTGCACAACGTAATTCATTTTTGTTAAAATTCAATTTGTTGCTGCAATGCTGCCATTGCCAAAATGAAAGGGCAAAAATCTCTTTCATTACAACAATTAATACCTATTATCACTTAAACACTAAATAAGTTTGAAGTTGTTAGAAACAATTTTTACCACATCTTTTCATGTTATGAATTTCGTGCAAGGCCCGAGCATAATTTGATGGCAAAGATCATAGCCTACTTCATCATAACATTGTTTTACCGAATTACGTTAATAAAACACTCATTCGAATAAGATTTGCAGTCCGCAAAACATCCTGAAAAAGGTACGGTAACTGTTTTCGTGTTCGAATATTCGAATTCGAATATTTTTTACGAATTGTCAAACTTCGGGTATTTTAGTATAGGTATAATATACAACAGGTGTCCAGAACACTGGACAATTTAATGTTGGTAAGCTGCAATTGCGCCTGTCCAATTCTTACGCAAGCGGCATATCTGGCAGAACTATGCATTCATATCAGCGTCATGGGGTATTACAAGTGGACAAAAAGTCTGCAATAGTAATGTGGAACTGGATGGGCTGAGGTATATTCAGTGTACACGAAACTATGGTCTCTGTGTACTTAGAGCGCTTATGTACATAATATACAAGTGAGTCAATTGTAATAATTACCGTTAACATTCACAAAATGAGTCATCCTAACTAGTGGTTATGCAGAAGGCAATCGGCACAAAATATCAAAAGTAGTTTACTCATCCAATGCCCATATCCTTGATTCTGACCATGCTAAGATAGTGAGAAAGTATTTGTTAACAAGAACATGCTTTTGCTAGGTTACTGATAAAGGAGCGTGGGTTATGAAATGATAATTTCGAAATTGAGGTTTTGTTGTTCACACATTTGTTTTCGTCGGTGTGTGTTCAGGACACTTCAAGTGTCGCATTTAACATCATTTTCTGGTAATTGACTTGGCAGACACATATAATGTTGCCTAGAGATTTATAAATGCAATTTTTCATAATTTGAAACTCCATTTTCAGGTATCCGACTTAGTAGATACATAATGTTGGCTAGATATTTCATAGATGCAATATTACATAATTAAAGCGGAAGAATTTGATTCTTCCAATAGGGATAATTGACATGGATTTTGGATCGAGTCATGTATATGCAGGGGCACCATATTATTCAGAGTAAGTAAAAATCTTAGTCTTTTTTATTGTTGATTTTATGGACTTTTTTTTGTTAAGAATAAAACTGAGTGGATCTCCTCGTCAAATTACAGAAATAGGCAAGCCGTCTCAAAAGAGAGTTGATATTTTGGGATATTATCACTTATTTATTTATAATAGTACAGTAATGTTATTGTCACTTTTTGCTGGTGCTTGTAATATTATAAGGCAGCGGTTCCCAAACAATGGGTCAAGACCCACCAGTGGGTCGCAAAAGGAATCTTAGTGGGTCGTGAAAAGATGTAGAAAGCTTTGATTAATTATAGGCTGGTTATTAGGATCGCTGGCGACTCGAATACGTAAATCTTCAAAAAAGAAATTAAATTGAATTTAAATTCTAATCTGTGAAAGTTTCCTTTTCACGATCTTTCACGATTCACGATCTCAAAAGAACAACAATTTTCTACACTAAGAATGACCATGTGGCTTTTTTACGCATAGCAGTTTTGTACAATGTACAGCACTTCTTACCGTGTTTCCCCGAAATTTAGTCAGGATTTAGAGTTATTACTTTAAAGAATAACACTATGATTTTTTGTTTTGGAAGAGGTCTTCCATGTTCATTTATCAAAAATAAAATTACATTGTAGAAAATCACAAGATTTTTTAATAAACATTATATAAAAACCGACATCCATTGTTTTTATTTGTATGGTATTTCCCGAAGCGTGTATATAATATATACCGGTATTTCCTATACAAAAATCAAGTTGCAAATATTGTTATTGTGACATCACACAATCTTGAATAGTGGTGTCACGGTGTGATCTTCACCTTACCTCAGGTCATTGAAACTTTCCTCTCCCACACATTTTAAATTTATTTCAAGGGTAGGGTTCAATTAAAATCATTTTTAAAATTTAGTTTAGGTCTCATTTTCAGGCCGGGTCTTATTTTCGAGGAAACGCGGTAGTTTTGCGATGATTAGCCATTGCTGTGTTCTGTGTTATGTCATAATAAGTTAAATGGGTCGCCATAAGCTGTGGTAATAAATAGTGGGTCCCAACTCTAAAAAGTTTGGGAACCACTGTTATAAGGTACTTCAGCAGAAGTATGTGAACCAGGAGATATGTATACCAGGTTAGGGTCAGACAATAAATTCAGATACAAATACTACGGTAATACATGGCTAGTCCCATACTTCTGGAGCGCCTATTATATTGCTTTTCAGTGTTTACCTCTGTATCAACAATAATTTGTCACTGCATTTCAAATCCAAACACTCTTCTAAATAAAATGTCAACTAACATACTTTTGGTTTTGTATTGACAAAATATGATCAACTGATAATGCTCTGATATTTCAGTGTCCCCATTGACAATGTCCCTCAAGTTCAAAATGATCAACATGATACAATATATGAGGCAGTGGAAATTGAACATGGACGTCATCAGGTTGTTATGATTTTTTGTGCCTGTAGCAAGCATTTCGCTTTAGTTTGGCATTTTATTAAAATATTGATATGAAATGATTGTATTTTTGCCTCAAAGCAAAATTTCTCATTTTTTGTTATGCATATAAAGAGAAATATAATTTCACACCACTTTTCATGTTATTTAATAAATGGTTGACTTTTCAAATTAGTAATTAGGTAGACGAGAAAATCGGTCGGAGACCGAGGACTTATGATCGAAAGTTAGGGGATTCCCCAGAACAGAAACTGCGGGTTTGATTGATCCGCTCTTACTCTCCAAGCAACACCGTGTGTCCAATCACTAATTAATTATTAACTCGCTAATTATACGACATAATTCATCCAAAAACAATACGCTTCTCATCCGAGATATGATGAATGCACATACAAAAGATTGAAGCAGATTCAACCTCGCTTTCGTGAGATATCGCGTGTATCTTACAGACAGACAAGCAAACAGACAAATACCTATCAACATAATAAACCTGTATATTGCTATGCGATTTTACAATATATAGGCTACTATCAGCATTTAAAATTGAAACTTGATATGCCTGAGTAAACTGCTTTCATTACGTACCTTGCGTTTGATTTCATTTTACTGTGTTTTAGGAATATTCTGAAACATCAAGTGACCAACATTCTTATGATCCTGTATGTTTCGATCAGCAAGAAAGCGATGATCAGATAAATAGTCGTATACATGCCAGGTATCAATTTGTTTGACATAAATTGTATCTGATTTTCAACAGATGATTTTTTATTAGCTGATTCCAGTCTGTAACTTCTGCTATAGGCAGGGGCACAGCCAGAGAAGGGGTTACATGGGTCGTAACCCCCTGTTTGAGAAAAGGTTTTGATGTGGATTTCATCTACAAAAAAGCGTCTCTTTATTATCGCGCATCATGGTTTCACGGTCAAAACGATATTGTTATGTGCGTTATTACCTTAACACAATTAATACTGCAAGACTTTTTGTTTCACTATAGGTATGTTTTCTTTTTTATTCAGCGCTGATAATAGGAATGTGTAATTGTTGATTGCAATTCCGGAAGGCGTATTTTTCTTTCTCTCCATGAAACAGACATGAAACGAATTTTACCGCACTTATGGGCGCTCAAAAGGAGAGAAGGGTTATAAGCTAATTTAAGGACTTTCTTTTCCCGACTCAATCACTCTATTAATACCAATCACAGCGCATTGAAAAGCAAAATAGAATTTATTAACATTAATTTACATCGAGTTACGGGGAAGAATTAACCGACGGCTATCGCTAACAGGTAAAAACGATAAACATAAAAAAAAAATTACTAGCCTTTTTGCGTCATATTTTTCAATTCCTAATTTTGCATAAAGCGTGTCACTGTCAACATCATTTTTGTAAATTCAGAAACGTCGAACCCGATAAGTAAAACAGGTAAATAATGTATTTTATGGAAATTTCTCGAGATACTGGCGAGAAATATTATTTTGACCATGTAGATATTACCATTATTGCCGATTTTTTCACGTGTTTAGTATCAGTGTTTCAACCCAAAGCTAAGTTACGTGAATACTCAACACTGAGTTTTTGATTATTAATTAATACGAAAGTAACACGGACAAGATATAAAATTAAAATCATAAAAATGTGAACTATTCCGCTTCACAAATACCGCATCCCTGGGTCAGTAATGATAATTTTGTTCGCCTAAAATTGGGACCGTAATTTACAAACTGTGATACAAATCCTTCACAGAATAGTTGTCTTCAACATCTTCGCCGATGTGAACTCACAATTCTGTCAGAAATATAAAAACCAAACTACGATATCCGCCGTTGTGTGAGAATTAATATTTACTAGTTAATAAAAAAAGTGCTTTAATATATTTTACCAACATTAATTGGAATGTCGGCCGCCGAAACGTTCGCGATGACAAAAAATTTACTGCAGCCTACATTGTTATGGAGTTTTCAGTCTTCTAGTAAAATCCGAAAAAGGGAAAATTTATTGTCACGGCGATCCTTTCGGCATTTCTACATGGTCAAAATAATATTTCTTCCCAATATCTCGAGAAGTTTCCATAAAATACATTATTTACCTGTCTTACATATCTGGTTCGACATTTCTAAATTTACAAAATCGGTGTTGACACGCTTAATACAAAATTAGAAATTGAAAAATATGACGCAAAAAGACAAGGAATCTTTTTTTCCCAGATTTATTGTTTCTACCTGTTAGCGATGGCCGCCGGTCAATTCTTACCCGTAAATCGTTGTAAATTAATGTTAATAAATGACAATACTCATTATTCTGTGTTTGTTAAAAATATTCGAATAACTCGAATAAAAAATACGATTTTGCCCACCACTAATCACGGCGCATGTTAATAATCATTGAATGGCATTAATAAATCAACTTCATTAACAATAAATTCCAAGTAACAGTTTCACATTTCATTAATTCGATCGGCGCTACATGCGAGCGTGTTTTTGTACATATACACCATTATGACGCTACTGACATCTGCGAAATATAGTTTTCTCTAAAATTAATTTTCGTGATTTTTGATGTTTCAATCCTAAATGCAGGTACCTGCTAACTACAGATTATTGGTCGATGCTTGGAATCGGACTTGCAAAATATTCACCAAACACCGTCAGGCAAAGAGAGGCGGGATACACGTAACTGTGAAATTTCGCTGTGAATGACGCGTTCTATTTACTTCATTATTAAACGCATTTCGTTGTTGTGAATCGCACTTTTGGTGCAATGTTTATATTTACCGAACACCCCAACACCCCGGGGGAGGGGGATCCTGGCTATGCCTCTGGCTATAGGCCACCTTAATGTCTTTATTAAATGTGTTCGAATATTCTCCAACTGGTTTAGATGCATTCAAGGTCAATATTATTAGCCAATTTAAAAATAAATTTTAAATATTCCTAACATTTTGCATGCATTACCAATGTCTTTGTCTCAACGTTAGTCTTCCTGTTATTTCCAAGTTCCTAATGACTCCAATGAGCTATAAATTTTTCCTGATTCAATAGCCATGTGAGTTTAGGTTGTTGATGAATCATGCCTTGTAAGCATTGTCCATATACATTTCGAGCATGATAAATGAGCAACTGTACCTATCTTTCTCCTTTGATCGTATGTCCAATGTTATCTTGTTTACAATCTGTCCTTTTTCAGTCGGGAATATGACTTGGTGCCTTATGAACCTAATTTGGATTCAGTGAATAATAATCAACCACCAAACATTGTGGCAAAGCCTGCAGCACCAAAAAGGAGTTTATCATCGACTGTTTTGCATGTATGTGTGTGATTATCATATTATGTAACAATTAGAAATTTTTTTATCAGTTTTAAAGCCATTCTAATAAACACTTGAAAGAAACCAAGTTTTTGTGATGCAGGGATGTACAAAACGAATCGAATATTCAAGTACATTCGAAAGTTGTTTAATTCAATTTTGTAACTTCTTGATTTGACGCTCCCGAAGTATGTGCACCAAGATGCCGACAACCTGAACCCTGACCTGCTACACATACTATGTTCGGGTTGCACGCTATCTTGGTGCACATACTTCTGTAGGTCCCTTGATATTAAGAAAAGTTTCATTTGTAAATGTCTTTTTAAGTTTTTATTATCTTATGATAGACCTATGACACAATAAAAATGCTAATCAAAACAAAGTTTATCACATTTATTCTGCACAGTGAAATTAGATTTCTATGAATTACCATTGTCTTGAAGAATTTCTCTCAAGGAACCCATTTTAGAATATATTCAATATTTCATATTCAAAAAGATTTTCAGAATGTATTCAGAATACTAAATTATTTTGTTTGGGCTATCCCTGATATTATTCATATATATATAAAAGTTACACCCATCTTATTTCAGCAATGAAAAAGGAGTTGCTAGTGGCGCATTGATTGAATAATTGATTTTACATTCACAAAATATCGAAATGCCGCAATCTTCAAATACCTAGGATAATGACATTTTCGTTTATCAGTCAACCAAGATTCTGAAATGAAACAATTAGAGACATTTATATCAATTTTTATTACAGAAAGCAATGAAAGTTAAAAATTGGAAGAATAAAAAAAACAAGCCAATGAAATCAGATAGTTCAGTGCCAGATGCTACAACATCTGTTGTACCTCCACCACTTCCTCCACCAAGACCAACTAGAATTGATAAACCTCTTCCTCCTGTACCAACGGAAGTTAGATCTACCAACAGTGGACCACCTGAACTTCCTCCTCCTAGGATCCCACCGAAACCAGAGATATATCAGACTGTTCGTGCTAAACCTCCAGAAAAACCACTGCCTAAAACGGTTTTAGCGATTGATGAGATCGTGACTATGCTTTCATCAAATACCATTGAAAGCAACTGCGGCCCTGTGCCCCTAAAACCAACTGTAGTAACTTCGAAGCCACTGTATCCGGTTCTTCCAAACGTTTATGGAGATATCAACCTCAACCCTATAAAATCAACGACTGCACCTTTAACTACGGCAAGTTTTAAAATTAGTATAAGTTACTTGATATTGTCAACAGAACACCATATATCCTCACATATAGGTCGAGTTTGAAACGCAAACAAAGTTGTCGAATTATTGGCTCAGCTTCTACGAGCATAACTCTGATCGCACCAAAAATCTTTGTATTTCTGGATAAAATGTTGAAACAATACAGTTGTCGAGTTGTGGTTGTTTTTTGAATTTATTTTTAGAAGTAATGTTTAAATTATATCATGCAGGCACAATCTTTACCTTTACAACCTTCAGCTCCACCACTATCTTCAAGCCAAAGTAACAAAAGTTTGAGGTAAGATTTAATATCTTGGGCTGCTATACAGGATATGAATGTGTAGTAACAGAGTTATATCACTGTATGGACAACAGAAATTTTTATCATCCCATTTTATTCTTTCAAATATACCATAGTGAAAAACAAATCAGTTTGGTAGGAACACAACAAATGTAATTATTTTTGGATTCGAATATCAGTTCTATGTCTCTGTGGCTGATACTTGTAAGAAGAAATCCTAATGCGGCCCACGGGCCAAATCGAGTATTTGGCCATTGGGTAGTTCAATCTACCCTCCGATATTGGCATAACTAAAACCAAATTTTGATGTTTTAGATAAAATTTGCTCGAGGAATTTGTTGAGATTGCGATTAAATTTAGTTTTGGCATGAGGCCTTTTGTTTTACACTTTTGCTTTTGTAACTCTGTAAATATTGTAACACTGTAACATTTTATGTCGACTGAGACGTGTCTCCTGACTTTGAATTAGGAATTGAAAATAAGTGTTGGAAATTATGTGACTTAGTTTGTCATTATGATATTTTTCATTATGATTTTTGTTTGAAATTATCAACATTCAGAAATATTATGTTATTCATAATTTCAAAAGAAAGTATATTCATTGACACTTGACAGTTTTAGTTAGTTGAAACTTCAACTAAAAATCAAACTTATTATTTTAGTAAAAATCACCAAAACACATACTCGGCTGCTGATACAAATATAGTTTCAGTTAAACTTGGAATTTTAGAAAACACAGCTAATTCAATGGTTTGGGCAATGCCACCAATGCGATGCCAGAAATGTCAAGCTGTGCTTCTCCACCATGCTTTAGCAAAGAATAAGGTTTGTGTTTTGAGTTAAACTTCTCTTCACTAATGATATTCTGCACATGTGTGTCTTAATTTTTTTTTTTTCACTGAGGTTTTTACTGAGAGTAAATATGTATTAGCACTGAAAAATCAACAAATAAATTATCAACCAAATCTTTTCAAAATTATCGATATCATGTATTGTTTCTAGGAAGTGGCGGATTGTCAATTTTGTGAAAGCAAAAATGCAAATATCACGGAAGCAATTTTACCATTGGTTGGTAATGAGAGTGATGTCACCTTTGTATTAGATCAGCAAGCTCCTATGGCCTCGGATGATCCTATCATTGTGTTTTGTATTGACACATCAGGAAGCATGTGCGTCACTTCACAGGTTGGGGATTTCTTATTACAATCTTAATTGCTGATGAAATTCTGTTTTGTTCGAGTTTGTTTCACTCTGAACTCTTCTTGACAGTTACCTGGATATATGGAGTTAAAAGAATCAGTCTCCTCCCCTAATCCCTAACATATGGTATATAAATTTCTGTGAGACTTACTGGTATTAATAATAAGGTGGGGTGGAGTGAGTTTTTGAAATGCTTTTCATGCAAATTGATATAGAAACAATGGACAAGCCACAATTCTGCAATTTTCGATTCCATTGTTTTTTTCAATGAGAAACGTGTGTTTTCTGGCATAGGAAGTGGAAACTTTCATGGTTGAATTTCCCAAAAAATTCACTACTTCCAGGTTCTATTTGATAAAAGTAAAACAAATTCAAAGTTTAGTGTTTGTATATTTTCCAACATTTGATAAATGTTTATAGATCTAGTTTATTATCATGCATGAATATCTATTTTATGCTCAATAATTTCCAGGTGCAAGGAAACAATTCCTCTTTCATGTCCAGACTAAGGGTATGTATTTTCTGACTTTAAACAATATACTTCGTTGAAGTTTCATTTTGGTTTGCGATTTGGATTTATTGTCATTTGCTCAATACTTTTATGAGCCTTATGAGCCAGACTAAGGGTATGTATTTGCTGACTTTAAACAATATACTTCGTTGAAGTTTCATTTTGGTTTGCGATTTGGATTTATTGTCATTTGCTCAATACTTTTATGAGCCTTATTTAAAGAGAGAGTGTGAAACAAGCCATAAAGTATTTTTATGTGGCAAGTTAATAAATAAAATATAAATGCTTAAAAATAACCTTGAATAGGGAATAGGATTTCATATCAAACATGGGAAGCAAGAAATTTCATAGGTCTTGGTTGATTCAGTCATTGTTGAGCCTTCATAAATTTAGTAGCTTGAAAGCTTGGAAACCACTGATCTATATTATAAACAATTTGATATGTTCAATTGCATATCAAAATTATGGTTGTGGAATCCCAATCTGTCATAAATAGTAATATGAATCTTTAAAAAAGTGATTTTCGTTATCAGAATAATTTTAGTAAATTATGTTTGAGCATATCAAGTTTCTGATGAGTTTTATCCTTTTTTTAGGGTGTTCAAGAAGGTCTACTTTCTCAATTACATCAATTAAAAGCAACAAGACCTAAAGTACGAGTCGCAATTGTTACCTTCAGTAGCATGGTATGAACTACTTGAATCATTTGTTGGCTTGTTAAATATATTTTATTTTATGAATCTAATTTGTAGGAATAAATTAATCCATCGTTCCAACTGACAACATGTGAATTTCACACATCCATATCTCAGTATTATTACTTTCCATCGAAGTGAGACATCAGTTGAGTGTATTCGACCAGATTTAAGCACTCACTTTGGTTTCAATCTATCTTCAATTTGTGACCAACAATATGTTTTTATAATGTATTTATAACAAAATCTAGCTACGTGAAAAGTTGTTTATTCGTATGTGCGATTTAAAGAGTTGCACTTCCCATTCAATTTGCTTCGAATGTTCAGAATTTGTTCACTCTGCTATTGTCTTCAACAACTTATATAATAATAATCCATATAATATTTTTATAATCGAATGACAGTGTTATGATTGGAAGGCATACCAGTAGCGACATATTATCCCGATATTGTTGCGGTTAGGGAGTTCAAATATGAATGGTTTGCTATGCTAACACACTGAAGTGATTCCATATGTCATGTGTCTCATGTGTCACCAACGAGGATAAAATAATTTTAAAACATTCACGGCTTGTGTGAGTATCACTCGGAAACGTAAGTGATACCATTTTCTCATGTGGCAAGTCAATATTGAATAACTCTGTTGACATTGTTATCCAAATCCAAACATATGCAAGAATGGGAAAGTTAATAATTAGACAATTTTATTTAATTATTCAATTCGTCTTCATGAGTTCTTGCTCAATATCATCGGAAAATGAACAGAATGCATTCTTGCCTAGGTTATTTTTTTTGTTCATCTTGTAAAATCCCGATTCGTCTCGCGCCTCACCTCTAAAATAACTAGTAACAATAACGATAGTAATGCAATAAATATGTGAATATTGGAACAAGTTATAAGTTTTGTAGTGAAAGTAAGATCAAATCTAACAAATATGTTTATTTTTAATTACCTCCACGTTCCCTCAAAAAATTGTCTACGCCCCCCCTTGTGGGCCGTGCTGTTTGAGAATCACTGATTTAGATATTCTTGATTATTTTAATTCTGTCCTCTTTCATCAGGTTTCAATGTATGGTGATGGTTCATCCTCTCAATATATGACATTGAGTGATGCACAGCTGTATGATACAGATTTTATCAAACACATGGCAAATAGTGTGTTACTTCCTGGCTGTATTTCCAATACGCATGCTCAACTTTTAAATACTGTTAATATGTAAGTACATGCAGTATAAAGTAGCTGCAATAATTGCCTGTTGTATTCTATTTCTTCCGGTTGAGTCTTTCCAATATGTGTGTATCAGCTTTTCTTATTCACTACGTTGTTGTTACCGATTGATTGCTCTTGAAACTTAAGTAGGTTAAGAAGATTCTCTTATGAAATTAGATTGGAGACTAAATGGAGAGACAAATGTGTTATTGGTATAAAACACAATAATTAAATTTAAAAATAAAGCCTACTATTTTTTTGAATACAATGAATTTTGATGTATTAGACTATTTGGTTCGTTTTGGACATCCCTGATGACAATAGTAGCATGCTTGTAGGAATTCGAATGTCGAGAAACTACCGTAATGATTACTTGAAAAAACTCAAAATGTTGTTCGGTCATTACAGTTTTTTGTAACCAAGGGAGTAGTATTACTTGTTGGGCGGTTTTAGATTAGTATTTGTATAGAACTCTGTTGTTAAGATTGTTTAATTGTGTGAAATTGTCAAGGTAGATTTGTTTTGAATGGAACAATCTACCAGCATTAAAGATTTATTACATAAACCAATGTTTTTGACCTGATTGATATGTCAATCTTAATTTTAATAATATCCTTTCTAGGCTCCTGATTTCTAATTGTTATTAGGGATTTTGCCTCAATGTGTAGCCTACTGAAAAAATTTGAATAATATTGTATGATAACTGTTCTCATTTTCATTGGATGAAATTCTTGTTTTGGGTGCAAACACACATATTTAGGTACTCCTGTAGTGTGTGTACCAGGTTAGGGTTCGGCCATAATTTTATTCCGATTTGCTTCATATTAGTTCTATTTTGAGTTCTGGGACTGTCTGTGTTAGTCAAGTGAATATTCCTCCTGTCCATAGGTTCCAGTCTCTTTACACAACTTGATGCAAAGTAGGTGGAGAAAATTATTTACCACCGTATTGGTACACACACTTCTGGAGCGCCCATGATTTAAACCACTAACTGCCTATTGCTACGAATTAAAACATTAATTCCAAATATTTCATGAATGTTGCAATTGCCCTCATTGGAATATTTTGAAGATGACGTAAATCTAGCCAGCAATTCACCATCCCTCACAATTATTTAATTTACCGTACTCTAGCAAGAAACAGAAATCTTGGCAATGCTAATATATAATTCATTCAGTAATAATGTAAGTATTCATATTTCACATTCTAATTACCATATTTTGTTTATTTATTAATAAAGGTTGACTGAACGTGGTGGAACTGCACTCGGCCCTGCAATATTATTTTCTGTTGCACTTGCTTCAAGAAAATCTTCTTCACAGGTAACTTAGGTTTCTTTTTCATGTTTATTTTGACGTATAAATTTGTCTGCTTGAACATATGGCGAACCACAGCCTCTGAATCGGTTACTAGTCCAAGTCAGATGAAGAATAGTTATTTGTTTCATAGCGCCATTTGCATTTCGATGGTGGGGAAGTCGAATCCCATCTGCAGTCACATGAACCAACCCCCTGCAATGTTGAGAAAACCCTGCAATCCTCTCTAACATAAATATCTCTCAAGATAATTCGATTTGGCTGACTAACACAGTGCAATCACAGACATTCCTAATGCTTAACACGATACACAAACCTGGTAAGAACAATGTACTCATCTCTTAAACACTATTTTTGCGTGTTGATAATCGTTTATCTATCAGTGCTAAGCAACCTTAGAAAAATTCATGGGACATCATTATAGTACCTTGTTTATTGAAATTTCATTTTTTACTTTTCAAAACAGGTGATTGTATGTACTGATGGTCGAGCTAATATTGGTGTTGGAAGCTTAGAATTAGAATCAGATTACAAAATGTGCCATAATTTTTATAAAGAAGTAAGCGAGTATGGTACAATGTCAGGGTGAGTAATTTTTCATTGTATGATAATATAGCTGTTGTAGAATTTGAATGAAAATTTCAACATTCAAGCTGCCTTTTATGTATAGGTTGAGGTGATACGGTAAATCATTGGTCCCAAACCGCGGGTCAATTACAGCCCACGCAATGATTTAATATGGTCCGCCGAACTTATGTGAAATACTTTACAACTTTGTCTTTGCGTTCTAGATACTGCCAATCGTTATGTCATTATCTCAGTTTAAACGTGTGTATATTCGTAACATTCAATTATACCGGTATTTCAATTATACGTATCTGACCACGAATATTCCCTCTCCCAACTTGCGGATATCCTTCCGATTTTAACTTTGGACCCTGGTCAATCAACCCTGACTTTAAGTTAACAAAATATTCAGGGTTGGCCAAATGTGCTTTATTCCAGTGGTTATCAACCGCTATGTTGATCTTGTATAGCAAACAGCAAATGAAAAAAATCGACAAGATATATTTCACAATCTAATATTAATTAAACTTATTAATTTTTTATAAATATTTCAGAACTGTTGTATCAATACTTAGTATAGAAGGTACGGACTGCCGACTGGTTGAACTTGGGAAAGTTGCTGATAGAACTGCTGGAAAAGTTAGTACATTCATTTAATTCGCTTTTGTTGACTCAATTGAGTAAAAATCGGGGGTCAGAATCGGTTTGTTTTATATTGAGCAGTCAATAGTGACATGGAATAATGTATGAGGAAGTTTGATACCATTTATATCAGTGGCCCGCTTATCGATTTAATATGGCCCGCCAAACTATCCCAGTATCTAAATTATGCGTATCGATATTAGGATTACATACCTGTCCTTTTCTCCCCACTGCCCTCGAATATCCTTCCGCTTCTTAAAAATCAACGCTTATGGGAACTATTGTTTTTGTTTTATTTGTTTTTTGCACATGATACCCTAATCAGTGAGAATAGACTTACATCAACATAAATGATATTCAGGTGAAGATAGCAAACAGTCAGAATATTTCCACGGAATTTCATGACATTCTCTCATCTTCACTTATGGCAACACAAGTCAGCATTAACATGGTCACACAGAAAGAATTGTAAGTCAATTTTATGATAAATTGTGTGGTTTATATGAAAATATCAATGATGTTTGTGATACCAAATGGGGGCAATATGTGGATTTTTGTTAATTCTTCGCAGAACTTTGTGTGTGTGTTACAGACTACACTTTAAACCCACAAACGCATTAGATTACTGTACTAATCAACACTTTAAACTGAATTGAAATAATCTGGCCAGTCACAAGCACAACTGGTGACTTGACAAATGATTTTCGAAAACCTATAAATTTGAATTTTTTTTTACTATGTTACTTACAATTTTTTGATGCAGACATTTTCACGATGGAATGTCACAATGCAACAGTCTTGCCAGATATTTTGTTGGAAATGCCACACAAGATACTGAAGTTACTTTTAAATATGGAATGGCAGAAAATGGTGAGATCAGAGAAGATTTTTATAGCTGACACTTATTCTAGAGTTTGAATCGTGTTAGAATCTATATACTTACTTTTGTAAGGCTAACATATACACTGTCAGTTAAATTTTAGTTTTTGACCATTTTTGATTGATAATGGGATCTCAAATTGTTGTTTGTGTACACAATACTGAAAACATAATGTTAGACATCCTCATATATCATGAAGTTCAATATATTTATTGGTAAAATTATAAAGAAAATCCCTCAAGAGTGTGTAATCGTGGCAAGTGGCAACTATGCATCTGAAGCGAAGTGTTTAACTAGCCTAGTACTGACATGGTACTCACTGGTATTCAAATGAGAGTCTGTGGGTCTCCATATGATTAAGCGGGATAATTACAAAAACTTAATAATTTAAAATGAAACATCACAGATCATCCACCACCAGAAAGTGCAATGTTTCAACTACAAGCCAAATATCTTCTACCAAATGGTTGTACTTGTTTACGAGTTATAACACAATCACGACCTGTTACTGAGAATAGAATTTTAGCTGAGCATGGATTGAATCCTGTCGTCGTTGGTAAGAATGGATTTGTGCTTCAAACTAAATGAATGATTCAGTAATAGTAACATAAATTAGATATTTGCCATTGAAATCAATTGAAAATATATCTTCATTTTAAGATGCATAAGATTTGATATTGATCAATCGATCCACTAGCAATGTAAACATTAGTGATCAGTGGAAGCTCGTAATCTTGTCTGTTTACTATGTAATGCAGGGGTGTGCAACCTGCGTCGTGTGGGCCAAATACGACCTTCAAGAAAAATTTATGCTTCCCCCCCCCCCAAGGAAGTCCCATACCCGAGTCCAATTTACATATGCCTATGACTTTACAATGCCTAAACAGCTAGCTTGTGTGAACGACCCATGTCATAATATCAATAACCAACGTTTTTGTGCCTGCAACGACTAGATAGCCTGTGTTTATTTAATAAAGGTGCGGCCCGCGGCTTCACCCAGTTATGTCTATCTGGCCCTCCTGTATTAAGGTTTGCACACACATGATATAAATGCAAAAAAGTTTGTGTTACGCACCCTACTAACTTTTTTTTTCGCTAATGTGGCTTGAAAGGACAAATGTAACCAAAATTCAGGTAAACTGGTAATCTTACATTTAAAATTGACTGATATGACATCATTTGTATCATACATACTAAAGTAAAAAATCATAAATTATACATGTCTTATTACCTGAGAATATAGATACATGATCTAGGTATTATTTACTTTTCAGATATACAGTAATACTATTATGCATAATTTTTTTACAGGTACCTATGCATCGCAACTTGCTTCAAAGTTAGTTTTTGATGGAGACTTACGAGATGCAAAACTTACCACTGATGCTCACAAGAAACTGATTCATCGAGCAATGTAAGTTATATCCTGGTTTCTCAAACTGGGGTTCGCGAACCTTTGGGCAAAACGATATGTTTGGGAAACACTGAGTGAGATGAACCAACTGATGTACAATTGTAAATGATGACCTCTTAGTTATCAATTTTTAATTATTGGGGTTAAAAAAAGTTAATATTTAAAAAAAATGTCTTTTGGTTTAAAACAGGCTTTTTGATTCTCGAAATGTAACAAAAGGAATTAAAAAAAACATAATTTCACTATTAAATTAAGTGATTTATTTATACATATTTGAAAGGGTTATTGAGAATTGTCCCAGGAATGCAGGTGAAGTTGCTGAACCCACTTGCACTTCGAATGTATTATTATAATATCACTCTTGAAAGATTATTTATTTCATTATGGCTATGTATGGGGAAACCACTGGTAACTTGCTATTCTTCAAATTGTCTTCTTCGTCTTCTGCTGTGGCCTCCATCTTATTTCTTTCTTCATGTTTTTACCAATCTTGCATATTTCGCTGCCCACTACAAAAAACTTTTTATTTACTTACCTTCAACCCATAGGTTCTATCTTAGCAATGCTCCCATCCTACAGGTTTTATTTTGATTTTATTATTGCTGAAAAATTTGTAGGTCGATTCGTTCAACATACAGTACAAGAGGTGAATCGGAATATAACGAAGCAGCTGATGAAAGAATATATGGTACTGTCTGTTCACATATTGATGAACTTGATAAAGAAATTATAGAACAAGTCACAGGATCAGTAAAAGCTTCGGTAAGCCTAGACACTCGGCCTACAAACAATTACTTTCATTTTGATAAGTTTAAAAAGAGGCACAAAAGCTTATAATATCAAATTACTATGATAAGTAGCATGCAGACAATTTGGTATTTCCATCACAAATTCATGTCCCTTCTCTCAAACATTTCTTTACAATACAATGAATAGGCAAAATGAGTCATTTTTCACATATGATTCACAAATCTTTTAGCTAAGCTAATGTCGAATTGTCACCAACTACCGTGTTTCCCTGAAAATAAGCCCTAGTCTGAATTTTAAAAATGGTTTTAATATAAGCCCTCCCCTTAAAATAAGACCTACCGTAGTTAATTACGCTAAATTTTTTTTGACCTACAGTGTTTCCCTGAAAATAAGACAGTGTCTTTTTTCAATTTTCTTCCCAAAAATAACACTAGGGCTTAGTTTTTGGGGATGTCTTTTATTTTCATTTATCAAAAACAAAACGAGAATATCGGTTGGAAACCGAAGACTTATCGATCGATAGTTAGGGGTTCCCCCAATACAGAAACTGCAGTTTCGATTCATCCGCTCTTGTAACTTGCGCACTGCGCATCGCACACACACACTCGGCGGGTCTCAAAATTCTCTCGCTTTACGAAAATCTAGATCACTATATCAATAATTGATTGATAACTTGCTAATGCACATGCAAAATCTGGAGCAGATTCAATCTCGCTTTCGTGAGATATCGCGTGCATCTAACAGACAAACATACAGATAGACAAATACCTATCAACATACTTACCGATTAAAATCGATAAGTAATTACAAAGAGAATTACGAGATTTTCAAATATACAAGATTTGAAAACCGATATCCCTTTACTTTTAAATAACCTTTTCCTCTCTCTATCGTTTTAGATTTATCATTTATAATGTGTAGGAGAAATTTCTTGCTATCGACTAGGTCGAAAAAAAATTTGCGCTGTCAACTAGGTCTTCTTTTAAGGGGGGTCTTATATTAAAATCAATTTCCAAATTAATACTACAGAAACAATTCAGATTTAAGAAACTTTCATGGCATATACCAAATTAATGGGCTAAAAAATTCAGTGTTTTTTTTTTACTTAATTTCAGGGAGCGAAGCCTCCACCACTTCCCCCAAGACCACCAGACTCACCGAGCATTTTGCATCGATCTCCTTCGCTATCACTTCCAGATGTTCCAAATACCCCACTACCATCAAGAGAAGAATTGAAAGAGGTAGTAATTTGTTTCGTAACAATTGATAACAGTTATTAGACTATTACAAATCTAAACGCATAGTTAAGTCAAGTTTATTTTTCCAAACCAGTAAAAAGAAAAAAATCATGCTAAAAATTAAAAAAAAAAGTTTTTTTTAATTAACTGGGGAAGGGAAGCCACAGGGAACCAAAACTGGTTATCGAGCAGCGACACCCAAAGTTCTAACATCTAATTCCACAGATTGGGGGGATGTTTCAAAATTACTGATATTAATGGTAAATACCATATGAATTTGTGATTGGCCAACTAACATCGATTATTACTAGGAATTACCATGTATTAATTGTACCATATTGCCTATATATAGTAATATACGGTGCAAATAACAGTATTCTTTTGATTCGGTAAACAGGCTGTTGAACATTGTCCTGATGAAGTTGCAAGGAAATTATACAAACACAGAAATGCTTGTGGAAAAATGTTTTCAGCTTGTTAGAGATTGGAAGAACAGGTTATGATGCAGTATGGTACTGTTGCTCGACTGATTAGCCAACTTTTTTAGTCACCTATAGTGAATATGCAAGTCATATGATAATGCAAATCATATTTTCATTCAATTCACTCATTATTTGAATCACAATAAGCACTTATATTGAGTAAATGCGAAAGAATTTTTTTATTTTTTTCAGCGATTTATAAATATGTCAATAATTGTCTTTTACAAAAGATGTTTCCACACTAAAATATTACATGTTTAGCTATAGTTATATTGCCCCCTTAAGTTTTTTTTAGTAGAGTAGATCGCTTTTTTGTTTCATAGTGATTCAATTATTGTTTGTGAAATTTATTTATTCGAATGAAAAGTTCCACTGAATCGTACTAATAGTTAGTTTATACACATTGTAATTTCATGTTTCTTATTTTGTATGGAATTACCATAATAGTGTGTCTGAATCAAGTAATACCCATTTTTAGTATCAATTAAACGAGCTCACCAGTTAAAAATTATAAAATTGCAATCAACATTTCATACAATTTCAAATTTCTCCTGCATGGAGAATCTGCACAGCAAATTGTATTTTTAGTTGGATGGCAGGAAAACTATAACGAAGTAATCTTTGAAATGGATTGTGTGTGCTTCCTGGAACAATAATCTAAATAAAGAGTCTTTAATTGAATAAATACCTGAAACCATATTTTTGTTTCTCACAATTTGATTGGAATCGTATTTCAACTGGTCGGCATACGAAAAATTGTGATATGGTAACATTAGATACAGCATAACGAATGAATATTCATATTCCAGGAAACTGTGGGAGTGCATTAAGAATGTCGAATGTGACAACTCTTCAGTTTTCTACAAATTGTTCCTATGTTAACTTGAATATCTTCCAATCTCATAGTTAGGTTCTCCAGCCTCCAATCTAGATTATTTTGCCTACCCTAGCTGTTTGAAGCCCGGTAGGTGGTCTTACATAGGAATCATACTTGGATATGGAAGATGATGCCTTTACATTTGCAAGAGCATTAATTGATGAGTTGGACACTTAGATTTCTGATTCATATGTAATATTGTAGAACTGTTAGATCAGTATTTTCAGAACAAAGTCATGTGCTTTGGATATCCTTTTTGGGTTGAATTATTTAATTAGGTGGTTCTTAGCTCCTAAATCCAGTGAGAATCTATCATAGTTTCATGTCATATTTTTCCTGAACTGTGTTGCCCATTGCGTACTGATTTTGGCCTCAAGTCAAGAGCATGATTAATGACCTGACCGTTTGTTTATAGAATATTTATTTAACTAATTGTAACCGTGTGGCAAATTTTTTTATTGCTTGCAGAACCTGTATTTTGTACACAATTAGTGCTTGGTATCGTGTTATGTGATATTCAAAATTTTTGCAGGGTTTCTATACTCATAATTACAGCAACACATTTTGCCATAAATATATATTTTAGTAGAATTCTCAGTACTGTTTGAGTTGGACGTATAATTTTTTAGTACTCACCATGGTGTATTGCTGTCCATGAACTTTTTGCACTGTATATTTGTATTTCTTCAATACTTTGATATCCTTAAATAATACCAAACCTTGCATTGAAGTCTGATACAACAAATGATTTTTATTACTGGAAAACATTGTTCAAATCATTATTGTGTGATATAGGGGCTGGGATTCAAATTTTTTGTCACCCGGTTCCCTCACAAAAGTTGCTGCCACTGCTTTTCTCATAGATGAAGTGATTTGATGTATCATTTTTCCCAAAAGGATTATCTTACAAATCAATTTTTAAATATGGCAGTTTTTGCACCGAATGTTTTTTCTCTTTTTTTTCTGTACTGCTGTTTTGCTTCCTTTTTATTTAATTTTCCTAACCTGACAATCTTCAAATAATTAACTACTGTAATTAATAGATTGAACCTATTGTGTACTTATATCACTATCTAATAAATTATCGGAGTGAACATTTATTTTAGTTTCGTGAAAGACCACTGGAATTGTTTAAATTCACGATTAGTGATATTTGCTATTTCCATTGGTTTCTATGTGAAGGCAAAAATCCAAGGTAAATTGACCGAGTTTTCATGCCGTGTAAGTAAGATTGCTCTTCGTGATAAATATGAAAGTTTCTCCATCAGCAATATACTTGTCCATAAATGAGTGCTCACATTCTAATGGGATTCGGGGAGTTTGTGCGAAATCGTTTGTGGAATGGCGGGATAATCGGAATAGTTGATTTGAAAACTCTGATAATTGAATATTTCTGGCCAGCAATTGTTCATAACAGCCTTCCATTGTTTCATAACTATCTAAGCGCCCGGGTGTCCATAAAGTCTCTCTACTGTTTCAATTTTGTTATGAAGTCAGATCTCAATATATCTCAACCAGGTTTGTTGTTTTCTGATCAGTAATTGATTAGGTATTTTTACGTCATTTAATACATAAGTCGGGGCCAAAAGCAATATATGTTATCGATAAATTCCCTTTGCAATTTAAAAAAAATTAAGACTTTTTGGACACCCTTGGCCTATATAACCCTAGTCGTCGAGCGCCTGAAACAAAAAAGATGCGGACCAGTGATTTCCCTACACCCCCCCTATAGGGGGTGAACACCCCCCCCCTAAAATTTCAAACACCCCCCCTAATTTTGAGGTGCGATTCCACACTAAGGGGTTCTAAACCGCAGTCTGCGGGACAATTACGGCCCGCGTGACGATTTAAAATGTCCCGCCGAACTTGAGTGAAATAGTTTAACCCTTCATGTGGTACCTTTTGAGTTTTGGATACCGTCTATTGTTACATCATTATCACAGTTTAAGCACGTTTATTTCGTAACAATTGAATTATTTCGGTATGGGTATTAGGATTACACACTGCAGTATTTTAGATATCAGCCGTATATTAAGAAAGCTTAAAGATGTCACAAAACGAAAACTAGGCACTGAAAACAGACGTTTTTTAGATGAATGACAGCGTTTTTATTTCTTTATTGAAAAGAATCAAACTTCAGCGATTTGTCTTCTTACCAACAAAATATTTCAGTTCTGAAGGAATACAACATTATGCGACATTATGATCAGTTGACGAGCTTATTTCAAAATTTAATTCATACAAAAGTCAAACAAACATGTTCAAAAAAATTAGAAATGTGTAACAAAACAAGCCATAAGTAGCCATTCATACAATGCCAGATGAGCAAGACACTTCACTAGTCACTATCAGTTGCAAATTACTTGTTGAAACGTAGTACCGTACCGGTAGTATATATTTACGGTTGAAAGCCGTGCTTGTTATCTATTCCCCGGGAATTCTATCAGCTAAATATTATAATTATTGATTTCATCACATAACAAACTGCGATGCTAGGTGTATCTAAAATCAAGCTTAGAGCCTATTTTGGTGCCTATTTCTCAAAATTTTTGCGCCCTGAACCCCAGCCGTGTCGTCCCGCACTTTTCCTCGCTCCCCTTTTTTGGCCCTACAATTACATTCTGCTGTGGATTTTGGCTCGCGTCAATCAACTTGGGGGGCCCCCATGTAGCCTACATCGTTTCTTAAATACATACCATTTTTTTAAGAATACAAACAGCCTAGTTTTATCTCTAACAGCAAATTATTTACCACCCCCTAAATTTTGAAACTGATGATGAAACTGATGCGGACGTCTAAAACAAGAGAGCTATGCTCAAATATATGGACATGTAGCGCCACATAATTTTGATTACGTCCTAGCAAAAAATAGAAGTAATAGCCTTCTGGAGAAAAATTCCATCTTTAACTACGGAAAATTCCAAATGGTCCAGTAATCAAAGAGAAAAGCGATTTCTTCAAAACGATACAATACAAAGAACCACTACGTGTCCAACAAGAATAACTTTGCTGTGAGAGAGAGAGATTTAATATTTTGTTAACCTAAAAAACAATGATAATGTAGCAATATTATTTCCGTTACATTTTTATTGTATTTGATGACTGTTTGAGTGGTTGACAAAATAATAATAAATATATCTTCAGACGTTAGACCAGCGTTTTCCAAACTGTGTGCTGAGAGATTGCCGCGGAGCTTTTTTGAATTTTAGAAAATAAGCTATTCGTATTACACCAATGACATTAAACAACATGATAGGCAACTCTGACGTCACTCCATAAGACTACATGCGAAAGATTGTATTTCATGATACGCTCCAATGCACATATTTCTCGTCGCCTTTCGCGACCGTTTTCCGCTTGCTTTTGCTAATCGGCGTCCTCTTTACGTTTAGTACCTGCCTTTTTGCGCCTGAAACGTAAGAAAATAATCTAAGAAGTTTTGCTCACTTGGAAAGCTGGAATGACATACAAGCTGTAAAGAGTAAAATGGACATCATAGACTTTTTTTTTATCAGAGAAGATTACAAACGCGATAGCGTAAAGATTTGTGTGGGACATTTTGCAGATAATGACAAAGTTCAAAGGTAGTAATTTGAATGTTTGCGCTTAAACATTGAAATTTCATTTAAAGAGGGTGTCATACAAAACAGCAAAACTGTTTTTACTTCTCTTAACGGTGCTGTGATACAATTCCATAACACAAAGTTTGCACCTATCGAACTTGCCTTAGTAGGTGAATTTTTTGGACAAATTTATTGTGAGGGATTTCGCATGTAATTCTCATTGATTGGTGGCTGTTTATAATTCCTATTAATTGTGAATTCTGATTATAACAAAGAATTTACTGGCACCTTTTTCTTGTCAATACTCCAAGCTGAGGTAATGAACAAGACAATACATTTATGTCATCTGGAAGCAAAATATGCACACTAATTAAAAGTTTGACACATTGAGATAATACATCATTACAGAAAATACAAGTTAAAGATATGTATGACCATCACATGGTAATTAAAAATAAAATTAATAGGGGCTGTGGAGTATGAAAAGTTCAAGACAAAGAAAAGAACAAAAGTTCATAGCTCATGAACTCTCAATTTTGCCTCCATTGCTTTGTGAGGGCCAATATATTCCCAGTGGCTGAATTGGTTTACCTTTATGACAGCAACGATTTTGTATTTAATACGGCAAGATTTTTTTCAATTTAATTGAAGTGATATTATTTCCCAAAGCAATGCTTGAATTGTCTAGAATAGATCAGTGGTGTCACACCTATGGGTTTTCGAGAGCCGCATTGCATGTTGGAAATTGTAAAAAGGGCCGCAAACAGTTTTTGATAATGTATACTTGAAAGATATTTTCAAGATAGTTTTAGTTTGTGACATATATTAGGATGCAACTAAACAGTTGGATTAAGTTTTATTATTTTCTTTAATTTTCAAATGCAATTTCATGTTATTATTTGCATTCCACTATTATTGCAAGTTACTGTATTTATTACAAAAAATCATAAAATTCTATGTACAACCATCAAAATCATTTTTGAACAAGCTTTGGATAAGGAAAGAATAATACATACACTAAAAAAAATGACTTAATCTAAATATATGAACCTAAAATTAACAAAAATACTACAATATAAACTCAATGTTTTTTAATTACATTTGTCCTGACGTTTGGCATCTTTTTTGTGTCACCAGCATACTAAGGCCAGGATGAAATAATTTTATAGTACCAACTCTAACTAACGAGGTCACATGATCATGGGTTAATCTGGATCTTTGCGAATGTTTAATTAATTCCAGTAATGCAAAAAAGTTACTTTTATCATTTCATGTATAGATCAGTAAAAAAACAAATGACAGATTTTTTCAACAAGACATTTCGCGCCACATTGCATGGCATAGGATTGCTTGAATTATTATTTATATTTAGTAACAAAAAAGTTGTATAATTATATTAATATACAAACATATGGAAATTTTCTGTTCGAAGTTGGTCTTCGAATTTGTCATATTGGCTGCTAAGCTTATTGTGTTTTTTCATTGTACTGATGGAAATATGACAAATTAAACAATGTGCTTCAGAGAATTTTGTGAAATGCAAAAATATTGCAACTCCGATTTTCTTCGAAAATGCCACCTTCTTCATGT